CCTCATGCGTATTTTACTACAGAGGGAACAAGTGGGGAACTCCACTTAACATAGATAGGCACACTGAAAGGCAGTGCATTCAAGTGCAGGTGTTAATATTATTGATGCATCCGTTCAACCACGCTTTCCGTGTGTGTGCTATCCAGTCTATATATATATATATATATACTGTATATATACGGGGTTGGGATGGTTACTTTTAAAATGTATTCCGTTACAGTTACAAATTACTTCATTAAAAAAGTATTCAGTAACGTAATCCAAGTACCTCAATATATAATGTAATCTGATTACTTTTGGATTACTTCAAGTTACATATGTAAATAAGTCAAAAAAGCAATATCTAAGTACTTTCCCGACATGAAAACGTTTTTCACAGCAGGAAGCATCGTAATTACTGTAGCAGCGTCTCAGTAAACCCGCGTTTGAGGAGCATAATTGTAGACGGGTGTTATTTGCGCACGCACCAGCAGGTGGCTCACGTGAGTCAACATGAGTGTCAACAGAACCAGGAACTGTGCAGCGCTACATATATAACGGATTACTGTTTCTAGATTTTTGTATCCTGATTATGTAACGCCGTTACATGTATTCCGTTACTCCTCAACCCTATAGATAGATAGATAGATAGATAGATAGATAGATAGATAGATAGATAGATAGATAGATAGAAAATTGTGCTTGAAAACACCAGTGAAGTCACGTTGCTCACATCCCTATTTGCACGTCTGTATGACTGCATGCATTGAGCTGCTGCAGCGTATATAGACATGAATATGCATGCATGAATGGGTGAACTTCATAAAGCGATTGGCTTTATATTCTTTGAGCTGTTCAATCGGAAACAAGTACAGTCAAGTAAGCACATTCCTGACCATTAAAGAATCAGCCTCTGGAAACTACAATCTGATCATGGCTGTTAAATGTGCTCAGATCTTCCCTCACATTTGTAGCTGAGTGTTCTGCATTGTTATTTGTTTTCCAGATAAAGTCGGGTGTGTGCTAATCCAAAAGACTCAAATGGGAGCTCCACCAGTGCTTTTGGCTGGTTTTCCCTCTTCTGTCACTGAATTGAGTTCATAAGAACCTGAGCAGTGAGTCAGACGGCTGGACTTCACTCATGACTCACTCAAAATCAATGCCCAGAGTCTGCAAGATCCAGATCAGATCTGCGTCTCCATGGCTGTGTTTGGACAGAAACACTAGCTCAACACTTACTGAATATATCTTTTTTTTTATTTAGCAGACACTTTAAACAAACGTGAGTTATAAATGAGTAATAAAGCAAGATTCATCCTGAAGCAACTGGTAGTTTTGACGTGATGTAACTCCAGCCTGGAGGCAAAACAAAGCTTTCCTCTGCTGCCCGCCAGTTATTTTTACCAGGATTGTGGTAAGCACTAATGTACTGAGACCGTGATATTAAAAGACCTAATTCAGTATACACCTTATTGATAATGCACATTGTATATAGACGGACAAATGAACCCAGAATATGAGCAGCATTTTATTTTGTATTTTTATTTATTTTATTTTTTTGTGTGAAAAAAAATGTGACTCAACCAAATCCAGTCTTCTATATCACATGAATAAAAACTATGCATAACATGTAAAGTGCTGTAATGCAAAGTTTCAAAATGCCTATTATTATCATTTTTTTAATCAGTGAGTGAAATAGTAGGCATTATTCCTAACAGTAGTGTGCTACTGTATATTGATGTCACGTGATCTCAAGATTGTTGATTTGGACTGTCTGTTCAAATAATGAGTGGCAATAAAGTGGAAATGGAAGGTCAAGCACATTGCACTGTGGGATAATCTAGATACTCTGGTCATATGGTGTGCTCAAGTCATGTCAGAAAGATTGTATTTACAACATGAACGGCACCACAAAGTTGTAAATAAGAGTGAAAATCTGTTCTTGCTTTTAAGCCCTGAGTTTGAGTTAGGGGTGTCAATGAAAAAAAAAACATTTCGGATGAAATTATTGTTTTCATCTTCATTATTATTATTTATACAGCACTTTTCTGTGTACTCAAAGCACTTTACATGGAAGAGGGAATCTCATCCACCAGCAGTGTGCAGCATCCACCTGGATGATGCGACGGCAGCCATAGTGCACCAGAACACCCACCACACACCAGCTACAGGTGGAGAGGAGACAGTCAACAGATACAGTATGGGGATGGTTAGGAGGCCATGATGGTCAGAGGCCAGTGGGTGAATTTGGTCAAGATGCTGAGGTCACACCTCTACACTAAAGACATCCTGGGATTTTTAATGACCACAGAGAGTCAGAACCTCAGTTTAACGTCTCATCCGAAGGACGGTGCTTTTTACAGCATAGTGTCCCCATCACTATACTGGGGCATTAGGACCCACACAGACCACAGGGTGAGCACCCCCTGCTGGCCTCACTAACACCTCTTCCAGCAGCAACCTAGTTTTCCCAGGAGGTCTCCCGTCCAAGTACTGATCAGCTCAACCCTGCTTAGCTTCAGTGGAAGACCAGTCTTGGGCTGCAGGGTGACTTGAGCGCTTCTTATAATTGTGACTTGCTAATTCAAACTTTCTAGGAAGACTTGAACACAGCGCGATATCATGAGATCCCAGGATTCTTTGCATGATGTACAATGTAAAAAATAAATGAATAAAAAAATAAAGTTGTAAATAAAATAGTATTGGAATATGTTTTTTAAAAGAAAATACTATTTGATTTTTATTTATTTATTTTTTACTTAAAAATGTAATGCTTTTTTAATTGTTACGCAATGTTTCTTTGTAATTCGTTGTGGAATTTCGGAGTTAAAATTATTTTTTGTTAAATGTACAAACTGAATTGTGCAGCAGCAGTAAGACTAGTGTGATTTTATTTATAATGATGTAAGAGCTGTGAGGAATTCCTAGCACGAATCACCATGTGCTCTGTCATATTTATTTCCATAGAAAGCAACGCTTTTGGATTGATGGATCAGGGCGTTTAATTTCAGATGAAATAATCAGAATAAAGGGCAACCGTGGAGTCATGTGTCATAAGCTCTGCTCTGAACTGCATATGACTGTATTTTATCATCGTATAGCTTCAGAGAGAATGACTAACCTCAAGCGATCCTCCAGAGACGAACATGAAGCGCCAGTTGAAACTTGAATTCTCGTTGCAGCATGAATGACATACAGTGGTGAAATCTTTCACAATCACAACAGAAAATCTAAATAGCCTACTGCCCTGAAATCAATAGCAGAATGGCAGCGCCATCCTCTCAGTATGGCGGATAAACAAAGCAGTTTCCCAGAGCTCAACGTGGCGTGACGTCACCTTCACATTCTCTATCCACCTTTTTCTTCCCGTAAAAATGGACGCGGCCATTTGTAAATTCTATGGGTCTAGCTTCCGGTCTCATCCGCGTCCAGCTATTTTTAGCTGTACAGAACCGGTCGTTTTGCTGCTTGATACTGAAAATTGGCGTGTCTTACCATATTATTTGAACGTATTGTCTTAATTACGAACACACTGGTTTATAATTCAAACAGTTTTACCGTTTACTGCATGTTGTTATCCTTCTCGTTATTTACCTATAGTGGCTAATGAACCAGAAGTTTTGACCATAGGCTTATTTCCGCGTTGAAGAAAAAGGTGGATACTATGGGCGAATTCCAGACGGCTTTTTTGTGCCCTTCAAGGGCACTTCGGGAAGGGGACGCCATTTGTAGGGACGTTCCCAACGAAAGTGAACAACTGAATCCCTTCATGAAGGCCCTTCTAGAAGTCTGTTAGTGAAGGGAACATGCGACGCTCACTTCACGGAAGTGATTTCCATTTGTGATCATGTGCTCTTCGGTTAGGAGATCTTGCGATGCATTTTAAAGCAAAGTTGGGGTTGATTTCGACGTCACATATAAACGTAATAGGCTAATTAAATTTGTCTATTTTAATGGAATACAAAATAATATTCGTCAGTGATAGAGATATGATTTAAGACTGTAGTGTAAGAAAGTTTAAGCAAGTTTAGTTTGAAAAAATAGTAATTAATAGTAAATATGACAAAATCAGACAATATTTGAATAAAATAATAATTATTATTTGCTGCACGCTCGCATCGCATTGTCAAGGTAATATTTGGTCAGTCATTCCCTTCTCCAAGGGAGTTCCAAACGCTTATTTGAGACATATGGCCTACACCCTTCAAAGAACACACTTCAAGGGCTCTGCCCTTCGAAGGGAGTAGGGCATAGGGATGCTCACTTCTGTTTGGAATTTGCCCTTTTAAAGAGAAAGTTCACATTTTAACCCGATGGGTAACTTTTAAAGCCGTTTAAAATACACTGCAATATAATGAAATATCTGTGAATTATATGTTGCCTGGGAAAAAAAATATTTAATCAAAAAAGGTAGTGTAGTTACAACATTTACCAGCAGAGGCAACCGGACTCTCAATGAGTCTGTTCTTTTATGTGTGTCATGATTAACCGTAATTATTTTGCATTTGGCCCATTGTAAGTTTGCTTACCACTCACTCATATCTGAAAGTATACAACTCTAAATCAAACTTCCAAATTCTGGCCAAAACATATTTTGATAATTCTGTTAAGCCAAGTTTTAACACAACCTTTGCAGCCAAACATTAGAAGGGCTGCAAAATGTAATGCTTCATCGTTGATGCTCAAGATGCTGTCTACCTGTTCACCAGCTGAACCTTGACCTCCTGGTCAACACAGTGCTCATCAGAGATCTTGAATGAGACATTTAGGCAGATTAGCTGAGGAAAAGTTTGGACAACATCTGTTTGCTTTTGTCTGTTTTATTTTGATTAAAAAACTTTTCTTATCTTTTTACATGAACCACTCTCAGAGAGAGAGAAAGACTGAAAGAGACAGAGTGAGAAAAAGACCGAAAGAGGAGACAGTGTCATCAGTTCATCTACATATTCTTTAAGACTTTTTTCAACCATAAACTCGTAAGTGAAAGAGAAGCATGTCGAGAGACGTTATGTCTCTCAGTTCTTATTTACAGGAAGTTGCCGTTAAAAGCCCGCCGTTAAACGTCACGTCCTCGATCAACCTACTTAAACACAGGAAGGGGGCGGAGCATTGAGTCAGCATTCTCCAAACCCAACAACATGATCGGTCAGTGTTTTGAACACCAAAGCAGATGATTGGATTGCGTCCAGACAGGTGGCACAAAAGCTCATTTTTGTTCTTTTAGCCACCATGCTGCTCAAAAACAACAGTCTAGTTGATTTGCTTGACATGTTGAACTCGTGACTCTTAACCTTTGATCTCTGTGATGGTGAGAGCGTGATCCCGACAGTAGCTGCTCCCCAAGAGTGTAAATGTGTGATTTTTTTCTTTTTTTGGCATGTATAAGAGCTGCGGTCTCTGGTGTAAGTGTTATCACATTCTGATAAAGGTCTGACACTCATACACCACACCACCCTGAATGAAAGAAATCCCACTGGAAAGCCAGCTTCAACCAGCCTAAGGTGGTTTTCAGATGGTCTCCCATCCAAAACCAGCAAAACGGACCAGTTGGGCCAGGCCAGGAGACCAGATATCCACCTCAGGATGGTTTAAACTGGTTTTCTCAGCGGGGAAGAGATGGAGGATGGACGAATGGAGGAAAAAATACCCGATAAGAAGATTTCTTCTCAGAAAGGACAAACAGATGTGCTTGGATGGCAGTGAGATGAGCAGGGTGGGTGTTCGGGTGACCAGGAGACAGAGACGTGGAGGAGGAAGCCAGCATTGCCATCATCATCATCATCATCTCAACAGGAATCTCCCAAGGCTTTCAGCGCACCGCTCCTTCTGGGAGATCCCAGGACACACGATACACTGAAAGTAGCTTCATACTAATGCGAGAATCTCACGGAAACACGTCCGGCTCATATTTCACTACAAAAACAAGTGAAATCAGAACTCAGATCAAGTCCTACTTGAGATTTTGGGGTGACCTACAACCAGACACATGAGATTCGCCCAGACGTTAATTGCGATGATGATGATGGTGATGTTGAAGACGTCCACCCTCATTGTCCTCCTCCAGATCTACGTGTCCTGGTCACCAGCGCCCTAGTCACAGACTCGTCACCAGTTGCATCTGTCCGTCGCCTTCCCCCTGCGAGGGCTGCAGTCCCGGCCGAGCCTCGTCGTTGGTCCTGCGAGGCGGAGGCTGGTAAAAGGCCGAGATGTGCGCTTGGCGTCCTGCGCTGAAGTACAGCTCATCCGGTGGAAGGGTGGGATGAGGCTCTGCCCCCAGCACCTCGGGACTGCTGTCGGGATAAGACGAATCACGATCCCGCGCGTACAGGGAGGCGGAGTCCGGTCCGGACCCACCCACGCCGTCCGTGATTTCGGCCGAGAAGCTCTCCGAGTCCTCCTCGCTCTGGTAGAACACAGACTGGGCGTGCTCCAGGAGGCGGGGCTTATCCAGCAGGCGGGGTTTATCGGGTAGGCGGGGCTTGTCTGGGAGGCGTGGCTTTTCCAGCGCTTTGTACAGCAGCTCCTCCTCGTCCTGTGGAGGCGGCGGAGGTGGGCGGGGCAAGGGCCGTTGCGGAGGCTCTCGGTGACTTGTCGACGTGGCGTAGTCCTGCCGGTGCATCGTGGAATTCGGTCCATTGCCGTAGCGATCGGTGGAAGGCCGCAGGTTGCTCTGAACCAGCTCGGATATGATCATCTTCTCCAATGCCGCCGCATCGGAAAGGTTCCGCCTCAAACCGCCAGCAGACTCCGCCCCTCTAGGCGTCAAAAGGGCGGGGCTGACTTCTCCGGACACACCCCCGGATCCCACAGGAGCGCCCCCCAGCAGATCCGAACTCCCTCCGTGAAGCGAGTAGCTGTTGTTGTAATTTCCGTTGAGCCGGACTCCCTCCAGTCCACACGACTCACGGCTGCGCGATAGTGTGCCCTCTACAGTACAGAGAGAGAAATGCGCAATTAAACAGCAGCTGAATTAAATGCTTGTAAAATTTGAATTCAGATCCATCTGGAAATGTTTCAGTTTAAAAAGCCAAACTGGATTTCAAGGCCATTTTTTTTTTCAGGTGACACTTTTTAGTTAATGTGGCATTGATATGTAATTGATTCTGAGTGAGCTAGTGGTTTCAGGAGCTGCATATGCATGAATGTGTGCATATAGTGATGCTTTTGGCGTTTACGTTCTCTCATGCATGTGATGAACATGAACATTCACTCTTTCCACAAAAAGTCTGACTGATGTCATGCCACTTGCCAGTTTGCTCACAGTAAATGGGAATAACTTTAAAATTAACGATTTGCTCTCCCTCATGTCATTCCAAACCCATCACTGGACAGAGTCCCCCAGTTCTGCTAACTTTATTTAATAGCCCACAGATGTCCCTTTTATTCATGTTATTAATACAGTTCTGTAGAAACTGACATCTTAAGCATTGGAAAAGCTGATGTCTGATCCAGTCATTGTGACGTAAATGTGGTACTGTATAAATGAGACATTAGCATTTATGTTTTATGATTGCTTTGAATAACTGAATAGACACAGCAGGGAGGTGAAAATGAAGGAGCAGCATGGAAATGAAAGAAACACAGACAGATAGAGAGTGAGAACACATGTCCATACTTGAGTTTCTGAACGTGCCTGTAAATCAATTCATAAAGAGACAGAACAGAGAGAGCATGACAGAAGAGAGGAGAAACACGGGAAAAACAAGTGAATACAGATACACACATCTAAATCACACAAAACAGTGCTTTTTATCACACACACTGACCAGTGGCGTTGAAAACTGCTGGTGAGGGGGGGTTGAATGTTTCAGCCAATAGGGTGTTGTAAGGGGAGGAGCCAGAGTGGGTCTGTAGCATTGGATTGGCTAGGAGGTGATTACCCATAGTGCCTGAGGAGAAACAGCACGATCCTTACACAGGTGCAGGGATACATTACAGCTGTGTGAGTTGATATGGGTCGCTCTCAGAAAATGGTGCTCTTAGGGTGTGAATTTCAGGGAAAACATTCTAACAAAACAAAACAATTGTGTACTTTGTGGGGGAAAAAATGTATATGAAATGTTCATATAAAAGAGAGCAACAATGTATCCTGATAGAGGATTAAGTGTTTTTTAATATATATATTTTATATACTTTTTTATTACTAATACTTTTTGATATAATTATTTATTAAATACATTACAATTTTAAAATGTGAAAATGTATCCACAAATAGAAAAGGTCGTAGCGCCAAACACTCATCCAAAAATCCAGTAGGCAAATAACATAAGGTGTGTAGATTTAAAAAATACAATGATACAAAGATGAAAGAGATCCGCACTCGTCCAGATTCAGCCCAAAAGGCTTATTTCATTTATTGCTCAGAGGTCACAAAAATATGTACAAAAAAGTGCAAAAGTGCAAAACTTTTTTTGCACATATTTCTGTGACCTCTGAGCAATAAATGAAATAAGCCTTTTGGGCTGAATCTGGAAAATGTATCCATATTTCAATATTTACAATTTACTTTTATTCATATTATTTTATAATTTGTTATTACTAATGTTTATTTATTATATATATATTTGTTCATTCTATTTGTTTTTGTTTTAAAAGAAATGGTCATATTTTCACATTTTTTTAAATCAAAGGTTTTTATTTATATTTGTATATACTTTACTATTAGAACATTTTTATTCTTGATCATTACTAACAATTCTTCTTATTAACTTTATTACTAATAATATTTTTATTTTTAAAATAAAGTAGACATTTTAGAATATTTTTCTGCGTATAATACATGTATTAAAATCTATTAATAATGTATACACAGAAAATGATTTCAAAACATTTAATACATTTTTTAAAATTCTTTATTTTTAGTAATATTTTACAAAAGCAAAATGTCGATTTTTCTATATAACTAATTAAAATGAAATGATGATTAGCGAGGGGCGTTTCACGCTGGATGGGTGTGTATGTCACCTCGGGTGAGTGTGGGTGTGTTGTTGATCTCAGCTGCCATGAAGGACGATTCTGTCTGCCGTCGAACAGTGTCGTTCCACATCCTCCGGATACGGCTCTGAACACACACACACACACACATACACACCCAACATTTGTAAACTGCATACACTTAACACGGACAGAAATCAAACAGATTACAAAAACTTACACTTCATTTCATTTTAGTTAGTTGCTAAGGCAACATGTCTAATTTTCATGAAATTACTACATGTTAAAAAAATATAATAAAAATGCCTATTGAGATTAAATTACTACATGTGAAACTAAAATAAATAAATAAAAACTAAATCATTTAAAAAAACAAAAAAAAAAGCTAATAAAATCACCTGTTAAATTAAATTACTACAGCTAAAACAAATAAAAATGAATAAAAGCTAAATAGACGCGGTTAAAAAAACCTGAATCGAATGAAACGCTGATTAGATTAAAAGAACTACAACTAAAACAAACAAACTAAACAGATATGCTTAAAATAAACAAAAACGAATAAAACACTTATTAAATTAAAATAGCTACAACTAAAACATGACACATAAAAATGAATAAAAACGAAATGCATGTTTAAAAAAACTAATAAAAAACGGAAAACACAATGAAATTAATAAAACTTTAACTAAAAAGAAAGCGAAAAATCGAAAAACAAATATAATCTAAAAATAAAAACAAAAGCTAATTCTAAATAAGGCTAAAATAAAAGTGTCATCTGCGTTTGTGTAAAACCTGATTTTGTAAAATAAACAAACAAACAAACAGGCAATTTAAACAATAAATACATCTTAAACAGTTTGGTCTTTTTTTGTTGTGGTCAGTTTGAGTGCATGAAATTAATATTCCTCTAAACAGATAGCTTCAAAAATGTCCAGTCCCATCAGGATTTCACCGTTTTCAGCTGAGCACAGGAAACTCGACTCGGTGTCAGACAGCAGGAAATCAACAGCAACCCTTCACTCACAGCAACAGGTTTCCTGTAAATAGTATGTGCTGTAGCCGAGGCTACAGGACAAACCCCGTGTGACCCCTGACCCCTGCATTCTCACTTGATGTTGTCGAATCGGCTGGAGTCTGGCTTCAGGACGGTGGAGTGGCGCAGCATGCGGTGGATGGTGATGACCAGCGACTAAAAACACTGAAAAACATTTGTAAACTGCATACACTTAACACGGACAGAAATCAAACAGATTACAAAAACTTACACTTCATTTCATTTTAGTTAGTTGCTAAGGCAACATGTCTAATTTTCATGAAATTACTACATGTTAAAAAAATATAATAAAAATACCTATTGAGATTAAATTACTACATGTGAAACTAAAATAAATAAATAAAAACTAAATCATTTAAAAAAACAAAAAAAAAGCTAATAAAATCACCTGTTAAATTAAATTACTACAGCTAAAACAAATAAAAATGAATAAAAGCTAAATAGACGTGGTTAAAAAAACCTGAATCGAATGAAACGCTGATTAGATTAAAAGAACTACAACTAAAACAAACAAACTAAACAGATATGCTTAAAATAAACAAAAACGAATAAAACACTTATTAAATTAAAATAGCTACAACTAAAACATGACACATAAAAATGAATAAAAATGAAATGCATGTTTAAAAAAAACTAATAAAAAACGGAAAACACAATGAAATTAATAAAACTTTAACTAAAAAGAAAGCGAAAAATCGAAAAACAAATATAATCTAAAAATAAAAACAAAAGCTAATTCTAAATAAGGCTAAAATAAAAGAGTCATCTGCGTTTGTGTAAAACCTGATTTTGTAAAATAAACAAACAAACAAACAAACAAACAAACAGGCAATTTAAACAATAAATACATCTTAAACAGTTTGGTCTTTTTTTGTTGTGGTCAGTTTGAGTGCATGAAATTAACATTCCTCTAAACAGATAGCTTCAAAAATGTCCATTTTTATTATTATTATTATTTTATGTGTTTTGTCAATAATCTGTAAATATTATCTGTGCATTTAGTATTCACTTAAATCAGTTGAGTTTCTGCTATATAACACCTGCAGAAATAAGAAAAACGATGCAAGTTTGCAATAATTGTGATGATTTGAAACGCTCTGCATGAGAAGCGACTCCACAAGCTGAGCACAGGAAACTCGACTCGGTGTCAGACAGCAGGAAATCAACAGCAACCCTTCACTCACAGCAACAGGTTTCCTGTAAATAGTATGTGCTGTAGCCGAGGCTACAGGACAAACCCCGTGTGACCCCTGACCCCTGCATTCTCACTTGATGTTGTCGAATCGGCTGGAGTCTGGCTTCAGGACGGTGGAGTGGCGCAGCATGCGGTGGATGGTGATGACCAGCACGACCAGGTTCAGCTGAACACAAGAGCTCAAAGGTCAGACGGCTCTTAAGAGAGCAGAAAACACTCACAAGATAGCAAGTGTCCATTTATCCCCTCGCAAATAAAGTTATTTGGCATTTTTAGTCATTTTAGTCAAAACATTCTTGCTGGGAATCGAGGGTCTAGTTGAGCACACTGCATTGTGAGATATGCAATAGTACTCCGGATGTGTTCTGCTCGTACATATATCAGTTAATAATTAATTAATTAATTAATAATTTGGTCAAATAATTGGTCAAGATATTCACTAAACTTAATGCTTAAAACATGAGTAAAAGTATTTGTGTGTGATAAAGCAATAAGTCCCAAGAAGCGGTAGTTTACAGTGAATTTATAACAGCTAAGGGGCGTTGTTAGGCACGACGCGAAGCAGAGTTAAACCCCCTTAGCGGTTATAAATTCACTGTAAACCACGGCTTCACGGGGATTATTGCTTTTATAAGACGGTTATTCCATATACGTAGTAAGGTTACACAAAATAAAACGGAGCAAATAAAGTGTAATGATATTAATAAAAACAGTATTCTTCCACCAAACAATGTAGCGCCTCAGAAACAGTTGCGGTTCCAACAAAGTGGCTGCAGAGCAACACACAAACGTAAACAAAGGTGTGTGTTTGTAGAGTAATTTACAACAGCTTCGAACACGGCTCAACCAATCAGAATCAAGGACCGGAACTCTCCGTTTTATAAAAATAAACACACACAGACACACACACGTATACTGTATGTATACACAGTATATATATACACATACATACTAAAAGAGACAGCACATTTGTAAGGTCCTTCTACATAGGTCAAGATATTCACTAAACTTAATGCTTAAAACATGAGTAAAAGTATTTGTGTGTGATAAAGCAATAAGTCCCAAGAAGCGGTAGTTTACAGTGAATTTATAACAGCTAAGGGGCGTTGTTAGGCACGACGCGAAGCAGAGTTAAACCCCCTTAGCGGTTATAAATTCACTGTAAACCACGGCTTCACGGGGATTATTGCTTTTATAAGACGGTTATTCCATATACGTAGTAAGGTTACACAAAATAAAACGGAGCAAATAAAGTGTAATGATATTAATAAAAACAGTATTCTTCCACCAAACAATGTAGCGCCTCAGAAACAGTTGTGGTTGCTACAAAGTGGCTGCAGAGCAACACACAAACGTAAACAAAGGTGTGTGTTTGTAGAGTAATTTACAACAGCTTCGAACACGGCTCAACCAATCAGAATCAAGGACCGGAACTCTCCGTTTTATAAAAATAAACACACACAGACACACACACGTATACTGTATGTATACACAGTATATATATACACATACATACTAAAAGAGACAGCACATTTGTAAGGTCCTTCTACATACAAAGGTGTAAATATGTCAAATATGTTGTAAATATGTTATAAGTAAATAAGTAAATGAATCTTACCAGAATAACAAGGGAGGCGGGGCCAATAAACGTCCAGATGAAGTAGTTATCAACCCTCAACCAGCAACTACACAAAACAAGAGAGAAATGACACACACACAAACACACCTATCCCTCCTATGAGTCCTGCAGACGGAAACACACTCACGCTTTGGGTCCTCCGTAGCTCCTGTAGTCGATGGCTGTGGAAATGGCCACCACCAGCGTGGGGAAGCCGTACGCGGAGAGGTAGTAGTACTTACGACGAGACGTCTCGCTTTCAAACACCTCCACCATCAGCACATACAGCTGCACCGTCTCCATGCAGAGCCAGCAGAACACAGACAGCAGGAAGAAGTGCAACAGACCGGCCAGAACCGGACACACCACCTGCACACACACACATACACATACACACGCACGCACACACACACACACACACACACACACCTGACGCATGAGCACTTCACTGCTGAGGTGGTCTGGTTTAGTCGGATAAAGTCTTGTTAGGTCTGATGATGTTTCATCTAATTCAGTCTGATGTAGCCTAGTTTACTCTGATGTGATCTGATTTAGGTTGACTGTTTGGTCTGGTAAGGTTTGGTTTAGTCTGATAAAGTCTTGTTTGGTCTGATTAGGTTTGGTTTAGTCTGATAAAGTCTTGTTTGGTCTGATTAGGTTTGGTTTAGTCTGATAAAGTCTTGTTTGGTCTGATGTGTGTCCAGGTTTAGTCAAATGTGGTCTGATGTAGCCTGGTTTACTCTGATGTGATCAGGATGGTCTGATGAGGTTTGGTTTAGTCTGATAAAGTCTTGTTTGATCTGATGTGTGTCCAGTTTAGTCTAATGTGGTCTGATGCAGTGCTTTACAGCTATAGGGCAGGAAGAGCTAAATAAACTTATCACTGCATCTAAACCAACAACATGCCTATTAGATCCCCTAGTTTACTCTGATGTGATCTGATTTGGGTTGACTGTTTGGTCTGGTAAGGTTTGGTTTAGTCTGATAAAGTCTTGTTTGGTCTGATGTGTGTCCAGTTTAGTATAATGTGGTCTGATGTAGCCTGGTTTACTCTAATGGTGTGGTCTGGATGGTCTGATGAGGTTTGGTTTAATCTGATAAAGTCTTGCTTGGTCTGATATGGTCTGGTTTAGGTGAATGCGGTCTGATATAGCCTGGCTTACTTTAATGTGATCTGGTTTGTTCTGATTTAGTCTGATACATTTGTGATAGGTCTGATGATGTTTCATCTAATTCAGTCTGCTGTAGTCTGGTTTACTCTGATGTGATCTGGTGTGGTCTGATTTAGGTTGACTGTTTGGTCTGATTAGGTTTGGTCTAGTCTGATTAGTGTTGTTTGGTCTGATGTGTGTCTGATTTAGTCTGATATGATCTGATGTAGCCTATAGTTTACTCTAATGGTGTGGTCTGGATGTTCTAATAAGATTTGATTTAATTAGTTAGGTCTGATGTGGTCTGGTTTAGGTGAATGCGGTCTGACATAGCCTGGTTTACTCTAATATGACCTGGTTTAGTTGGATACAGTCCTGTTTGGTTTGATGTGGTTTGGTCTTAACTTAAATATTTAATTTCCAACTAGTAAAATGCACACTGATGCGGCAAAATGTATCTACAAATGTGCGCAAAATTTCTGACCGCTTGGTCAGAATCCAAATTTTCAACAGTCTTTACGAATCTTTTTTCAATGAACAAATGATACACCTAGACAAATAAAACCATAACACTACTGAATGTATTCATTTAGTTGTTTTAGGTTAGAAGACAATTGGAAGAATTGCCATCGTACTAGCCCCACAGCTGACACACACGGAAAGAGCACCGCAATTTTACAATTGTTCAATTAAAATAAACGTATTTTGCTCCTTGGTCTGGTTTAGTCTAATGTGGTCTGGTTAACTCTGATGCAGTCTGGCGTGGTCTGGTTTGCGCTGATGAAGTCTGGCCCTCATGAACTCACGGTATAGTGTGTCTTGTCCATGCCGATGAGGAAGAGCAGCTGTGAGATGAAGAGCGTGAGGCACAGGTTCTTGTGGATGGTGGTGCGGTCACTCTGAAGGCCTCGCAGGCAGCAGAAGGTGGAGATACACAGAGCCAGACACACCAGAGAGATCACCATCCCCACCCACGTGATGACGAACAGGATCAGACCCTGAACGCCGCCGGGATACTGGCACCGAGAGAACAACAGAGCGTGAATGACTTAAGCGCGGCGTGTGAACAGACTCTGTCCTCCTGACTTCTGCTCGCCGTCTGTCTTCAGCGTGGCGTTTTGAGTGGAGAGGAACGAGCCCAGGTTCTTGTAGAGTGTGAAAACCACCTTCACCTGACCTGATGGACACACACACACACACACACACACGGTCACGTGTCAGATATACACGACTCGCTCGGCTGCGATCGATCCCACACAGCTCTCGAAATAACCCGCATCATCACACACACGTCACCACGGCAATGGCCACAGGAGCCGGTGACCATGGTGACTGTTGCCATGGCAACGTCCGGAGAACCGGCCTGGATGCGTGTTGCGTGGAGAAACCTCGTGAAGAGTGTGAGCATCTGAGACAGACAGACGGAGAGAGAGAGACTGACCATTGCGGCTGTACTGTTTGATGGTGGATGCCGACACGTAGATGGTGCTGTCGCTGTCATACGAGTTCGGGAAGGACAGATCTTTCAGCTCCATCTCTGTGTTGAGCACATACACCTCCAGATCTGAAACACACACACACACACACACACACACACACACGTTTGCTCTTTAAAAACAAACAAGCATAAAATCTAACACATCCAAATTTGGTAACATTTTACAACAAGGGTAACATTATTGTTGACATCAGTTGCACATGTTAAAACCATAGTATTTAATTTGAGTTTGTTCATAATACACAAATGTTAATTTATACAACTTGGAAAATGTATTAGCATATATGGATATCGAGATTAACCAAAACTAATAAATGCTGTAAAAATATGTTATATAAAATTGATTTGATGAAGTTAACGCAATTTCATAATTCGATTTTGTTCCGTTTGTAAATTATTTTGTACGTTAAATATTGAATCATTTATTTATTAAAAAAATCCCACTGAGGTGTTATGTAAACAAAGTTATTAACAATCTTTGTATAATATATTTAATCATCAACTGTAGCATTTGGACCAATCAGACACACATTTGTTCATTAGATTAACCAATAATCACAGACCCCTCACCCAATAAACATACTGGGTGCCAGCATGTCTGGGAACGACCCCAGGCCCCTGGTTACCATGGCAACCAGGACCCCTCAGCCAGACCAGATAAACCTTTACGAACTAATGGCATGTTGAGATTTCTCCCTCTCACCATCTTTCAACCATAGGAAAAACATAATGCCCATAAAAAGGGACTCTTCTCTAATTAATTCATAGGAAAACCTTTCTTTGAATGAGTCCTCCCGGAGGTGTGATCTCTATAGCAGATAAAGCTCTCACATCAGTGACCCGCCTCAGTCAGTCTGAGGTTCTGTTAGACTCTGAGAAGATGAGGATGTGAGCTAGAACGCTTCTGCAACCCCTAAGTTCCTGCCAGGCTTCGTCCTTGACTTTACATTTACCAAAGAGCCTAGGTCACTCTTAGCTCTTTTTCACTTTCCACTGGGAAGAAACTCCCAGTCACCATCGAGTCAGAACATCTTTGGAGTTCATCACTCTTCAAACCCGGAGGAACGTGATCGCAAGTCCAAAACCTTGAAACCATCAAGACTTTCATCCGAGACTGCATCCGTACGCTGGTTCCAGGCCAAGGCAACGCAAGTATCGTACATTTAACAAAACGAAACAGAGGTTTAGTACAAGCTGTAGACCTCGTTATAAACGGCGCTGATGGTTTCACTCAGGTGGTTAACTGACTCTTTGCATAGCTTCATTCTCTTGTTTTCCTGATGGTTTCATCCATCAAGTCTCATTTGCCCTTTCCCATATGAGTGATTGTTTGTTTAGATTAGTTATGTGTGTTATCGTTTAGTTTTTTGTGCAAAATTACATGAGTTTCTGATCCTGCTTGTGAATAATCCCCCTTGATCTTTGCTACATGCTCTAATGCATTATTAGACTACTGTAAGAAGGTTGTTTTCTGTGGCCACAAAAATATCCTTTCTTAGAGTTGAAATGAAATTACACTAAATGTTCGCTGGACGAACAGATTGGTTGATGGCAATTTAATTCTGCTACAGTTACTACTGGCAGCTGATATAAATAATTGTAATTAATCATAATTAATTGTAATTATTTATATATAATTTCCCTTTTGAGCTAATTTGCTACACAACACATTGTAGATAGTTTAAAACAGAGTTGAGGAATTTAACTTTCAAAAGTAACAATTCTACTTAAAAACTGATAAATGTGATCTGTTACTTTAAACAATATTTTGTTAAATAAATGAATACTTTTATTCATCATAGATGCATTAAACTAATAAAAAGTAAAGGCATTTATAATGTTACAAAAGATTTCTATTTCAAATCAATGCTGTTCTTTTGAACTTTCTATTCATCTGTGAATCCTGAAAAATAAAATGTATCACGGTTTCCACAAAAATATTGTGCAGCACAACTGTGTTCAACATTGATAATAATCAGAAATGTTTCTCGAGCAGCAGATCAGCATATTATACTGATTTCTGAAGATCATGTGACACTGAAGACTGGAGGAATGATGCTGAAAATACAGCTGCGCATCACAGAAATACATTACAGTTTAACAGAGATTCACAAAGAAAACAGCTGCTTTAAATTGTAATTATTTAACTGTTTTACTGTAATTTTTGAACAAACAAATGCAGCCTTGATGAGCAGAAGATACGATTCCTGAACGTCTGAGCACTGGTGTATATGAAGCAGCGCGAGCCGTACCGATGTTGGGCGCGCGGTCGCTGAAGTGACCCCCGTATAGGTTGTTGGCCAGCAGAAACGCTCCTTTCTCCATGACGTCCAGCAGCATGGTGGCGGTGTGCGACTGTTCTGTGACGTTCATGTCCTGCCACGACTCCAGCGCCTCCAAACGCAGCAGGTTATCCACCGTCTGCACCACCGCCTGACACACACACACACACACACACACACACAGGTGAGCGCTGAACACAGAGACATCAAGCATAGTGTTAGTTCTGGCAGGTCACGTTAGTCAAGCTCGCATCAGCTGACCTTCAGCTGATCCCCATCAACCTATGGGAATACGACACCTATCTAAACATTCATATATAAGGTCCCTCAGTATTATCAGCAGTTTTCGCATTGCTCAATAGCTAATTACCCTCCTCCATCCCCAGCTCCTCCTCTGTCAGTCAGGATTCAGCCTTCTGATTCTCTTTTGAATCAGACTAATTCTAAAATGTGTACATAAAATGATTGAACTTTAACAATATCTGCTATACATTTATGTTAGTTCTGTTCTGTTTACCCTGGGGGATTATTTCTGCTCTCCCTGCTCTCATCCATGACAGGTTGCATGGAGGAGCAGGGAGTTCTTGCCCAGAACAGAACCATACCGCCAATCAAAACTGTATGCTAATTGTCAATCATCTTTGACGATAGTGGTCCTGACAGAAATGTGTGTTTGCACGACTGTGTGCTGCATGATTACCTGAATAAACGCTCGACAGGTCCGCTCTCTCTTCTGAAGCTAAAAAAGACCAAGAAACTGTTACTTTGATAGTTGTTAATGTGTGTGTGTGTGTGTGTGTGTGTGAGTGTGTGTGTGTGTGTGTGTGTACAACACCTTGTTGTAGTTGCGTGTGGCCGACTCCTTGTTTCCAGGTCGCAGCGCCTGCAGCTGTGAGTCCAGAATGTCCAGCAGCTGCTCCATCAGACGCACAGAGGAAGTGACATCACCAGCGTAGACCCGCCCCCGTGTGTGATTGACAAGTACAGCAGCGATATGAGCTGCGTTCTCCCCGCTCTTAATCTACAGAGATGAGAGAGACATCAAATATCTGTTCATCCATCCATCGTCTGTTTGTCTGTCTGTCTATTTATCTATCTATCTGTCTATCTGTCTGAATATTGATCTATCTGTCTGTCTGTCTGTCTGTCTGTCTGTCTAACTGTCTGTCTATCTGTCTATCTGTCTGAATATCGATCTATCTGTCTGTCTGTCTGTCTGTCTGTCTGTCTAACTGTCTGTCTATCTGTCTATCTGTCTGAATATCGATCTATCTGTCTGTCTGTCTGTCTGTCTGTCTGTCTAACTGTCTGTCTATCTGTCTATCTGTCTGAATATCGATCTATCTGTCTGTCTGTCTGTCTGTCTGTCTGTCTAACTGTCTGTCTATCTGTCTATCTGTCTGAATATCGATCTATCTGTCTGTCTGTCTGTCTGTCTGTCTGTCTAACTGTCTGTCTATCTGTCTATCTGTCTGAATATCGATCTATCTGTCTGTCTGTCTGTCTGTCTGTCTGTCTAACTGTCTGTCTATCTGTCTATCTGTCTGAATATCGATCTATCTGTCTGTCTGTCTGTCTGTCTGTCTGTCTAACTGTCTGTCTATCTGTCTATCTGTCTGAATATCGATCTATCTGTCTGTCTGTCTGTCTGTCTGTCTGTCTGTCTAACTGTCTGTCTATCTGTCTATCTGTCTGAATATCGATCTATCTGTCTGTCTGTCTGTCTGTCTATCTGTCTATCTGTCTGAATATCTATATCTATCTATCTGTCTGTCTATCTATCTGTCTATCTGTCTGAATATCGATCTATCTATCTGTCTGTCTATCTGTCTATCTGTCTATCTGTCTGAATATCGATCTATCTGTCTGTCTGTCTGTCTGTCTATCTATCTATCTATCTGTCTATCTGTCTGAATATCTATCTATCTATCTGTCTGTCTATCTGTCTATCTATCTGTCTATCTGTCTGAATATCGATCTATCTATCTGTCTATCTGTCTATCTGTCTGAATATCGATCTATCTGTTTATCTATTGTTCTGTCTACCAGTCTACCTGTCTATATCCAGTTTGACTGTCAGTCCTTCTGATAACCCCTGACCTCTGACCTTTGACTGACCTTTTGAGCGACCTGGTTGACCCAGGGCGAGGTGCAGTTGCTGAGGTCGGGGCCTCTGGGGTTCCACACCACATCATCAGCCATACACTGATAGGACGCAATACCTGAATGACGGACAGAGAGCAGGAGAAATGAGTTAAGCTGCCAAACAGAAAACAATTGAATCGGGTGATGCCCCAGGAAAAGGAAACCCTGATAAGAGGGATTCCTGTAGAAATAGCTAAAACATCCCAAAACAAAACCCCATCAAGTCGAGCAGAGTTAGTCAGATCTTCAGGGAAAGTTAAAACTAGCTGTGAAGAAACTGACCTCGTAACACAACAAACGTCAGCGGAAAGCACAGCAAACAGGAACATAACACTCAGAAAACGCTCTGACCCATAAAATGCGCACATGAAGGGTGTGGTGATTTTTCTGGCAACATGCAATGGTTCATTCAAGATGACGAAGCTGACAGATGCATGCACACTTGTTTTTTCAACATTAAGATTTTAAGTTGGAAACATTTCAGATTTCAGAATGTTTCATTTAGTTTTTTAATCGCTTTCTGCAATTCTTAAAAATATCTAAATTCCTGCTGCATAACAAATGGAGTATTATAAATAAACATTTTCATGTAATCTCTAAATTCATTTGAGTTTATGAAAACTGCAATGTGCAATAATTAACATGCAATTAGAAAATGGCATTTAAATTCATTCTAGATGAAGTTTTCCTCTGCAGGAGACTGTGGCTTTAAAGCTAGCATTAACATATGACCTTCAAGTGCCTTGATGTAATCTGTATGATCAAGTCAAACACTGATGGTAATGACTGTTAGAATCACTGCTTGCCTCTAATAATAATGCTAAATACATTTTAAAACTATATTAAAAACTGATTTTGTATCTGGGGGCTTCGTATAAATGACTTCGACAAAGATTATGAAAAACAGAAGCCATGAAACACCTCACGACTGTCCAGAGGTGAGTTCACTGAGAGTGCAGCGGCGTGCATGAATATATTATACAAAGCCATCCACTAGAGATACGACACTAGAATAAAAAGATGTAAAATAAGACTAAAGTGCATTACACAAAGAAAAAAAAAGTGAAAACTATGGCAAGTCTCCCGCTTCCCCAATTGTTTGAAAAACTCTGAAACTTTGCTCAGATTTGCAGTCTAAAGTCACAAAATTCACTTAAGATCAAATTCTTCACCAATTTTTAAAATGTGAAAATGATGAAATTTGGAAGAGATCTCATCTCAAACTGTGCATAGATCTGCCAGGATTTTAAATGGAAAGTCAGAGATCTCAATATGAACAGAAACATTTATCATAAAATTCCCAAAGATCAAAGATCAGAGCTGTTTCTCCAGTTTTCTCTTGAGAAAACGATGAGATTCGGAAGAGATCTCAACCACATCTCAAACTGTGCTTGGATTTGCCAAGGTTTGCAATCTCAAGTCAGAGATCTCAATATTAGCTCAAAGATATCTCAACAAATTCTTTGAAGATCAAATGATCTGAGCTGTTTCTCCATTTTTTTCTCTTGAGAAAATGATTAGATTTGGAAAAGACAAAGATTATGAAAACCAGAAGACATCAAACGCCTCTCGACTGTCCACTGAGAGTTCAGCAGCGTACATTAATATATTATACAAACTCATCCGCTAGAGACACTAGAATAAACCGATGTCATCAAATGTAAAATAAGACTGCTTAAGTGCATTACACACAGAAAATGTGAAAACTACAAACAAAAGGCATCGACATCATCATCACCCACAGTCTGTTGTTATGGACATTAAAGGGCCAAACAATGTCGCTGCTGGTTACATGCTGATAAAAACATTTGGAAATGAAAGGAAATAATTTTTCAATGAAGAGATTGTCTGAAATATTCCACCACACACACCACTATATTTCCCACATTTGGCTTGACTGCAGCTAAAACACACCCACTGAATTGTTTATTTTAGCACTGACTCATCTGTACTGTGACCGCACACATGAAACCCCCCGAAACACCAGCTCACACACAAGCCCCTACTGACCGAGGGATCCTTTGGGACATGGCCTCTCCACCCTTTCTCCTCGATGAGTCGGGGGCCACTGGACCCCGCGGGTCACCCGGCCCTCACACATGGGTGTGCGCGGCCCCTGCGGGCGGCGGGGAGGCCTGACAGTCACCGGGACCGTAGCTGTGATGGGCCGCCCCGCCGGAGCCCTGTTTATAGCCCCCACCGGGTGGAAGGTCACGGACGGGACAGAAGTGGGGCTGAAGCCCCAGGACACGGTGCTGGAGAGCGCACTCGGAGGAGTGGTGGAGAGAAGAGGCGTCGAGAGAGGGTCTGAGGAGATACACAGACAAAGGTACAGTGAGGTTAAACAGAGAGCAAATGTGATGGCAATCATGGGATGCTGTTCTGATTTGAGACAGCATGTGCAAAGTGACATCATATAATTTTATTTACAACAGTTTTCCACCCAAATTTACAGATGAATGCAGACATTTCAGAACCAATTAACAGATCCAAGCATCATAAAAATCAAACTGTTCTGGTATTTTTAATAAATGTAATGGTTATGAATACAAACTCTGAGCAAAAAGTCTCCCGCTTCTCCAATTTTTTGAAACACTCTGAAACTTTGCTCAGATTTGCAGTCTAAAGTCACAAAATTCACTTAAGATCAAATGCTTGAAATGTTTGAAATGTGACAATGATGAGATTTGGAAGAGATCGCATCTCAAACTGTGCTCAGATCTGCCAGGATTTGAAATGGAAAGTCAGAGATCTCAATATGAACTCAAACATTCTCAAAAAATTCCCCAAAGATCAGAGCTGTTTCTCCATTTTTCTCTTGAGAAAACGTTGAGATTCGGAAGAGATCTCAACCACATCTCAAACTGTGCTTGGATTTGCCAAGGTTTGCAATCTCAAGTCAGAGATCTCAATATTAGCTCAAACATTTCTCATAAAATTCTCTAAAGATCAAATTATCTTAGGTGCTTCTCCGTTGTTTTCTCTTGAGGAAATGATTTGATTTGGAAGAGGTCTCAACCACGTCTTAAACTGTACTCAGATTTGCCAGGATTTAAAATCAAATGTGAGAGGTCTTAAAATAAAACCCAAAACACATTTCTCACAAAACTTTCTGATGATCAAATGATCTTAGAAATCCACTAAGGAAATTATGTGATTTGGATGAGATCTCTACAACATCTCAAAATGTGCCCGGACTTGGCAAACTTTGCAGTCTAACGTTGATCTCAAACATTTCTCATCAAATTCTCTAAAGATTAAATGATCTGAAAACTCTCCTGACAAAATGAGATTTGGAAGAGATCTCAATCACATCTCAAACTGTGCTCAGATTTGCAATGTATAGTCAGAGATCTCAACAATGAGCTCAAACATTTCTCACACAATTCTCTAAAAATCAAATTGAGCTGAGCTGTTTTTCTTTTGAGAAACAATGAGATTAGGAAGAGATTTCAATCACATCTCAAACTGTGCTTTGATTTGCCAAGGTTTGCAATCTCAAGTCAGAGATCTCAATATCTCATCAAATTCTCAGAAGATCAAATGATCTCAGAAATCCCCTGCGAAAATGATATTTGGAAAAGATCTCAATCTCATCTCATATTGTGCTCCATTTTGGCAAGATACCAAAGTCTGTGATCAAAAAGTCAAATATTTCTCATCAAAGATAAAATGATCTGAGCTGCTATAAACAAAATTGACTCATTTGGGTATGATTTTATTTCAGGAGAAACAACTGAGACAAAGTTGATCCTTCCAGTCAAACTCATGAGCTTTGAAAGAGAAACATCTGAGCAATGAACATACTCATGCTTTATTGCAACTACTGAGTCATTTGGCTCAGGATTATACATAACACATATGTGAGATCTCAATTAAGCCTCCTGAGAAATGAAAGAGCAACCTCTGAGCAATAAAAATGCTGACCTGTGGTGGGCTGTGGCGGGCTGAACTCCAGCGGGTACCGCAGGACGATGTAGTTGTTCCAGACGTACAGCTGGTTGTCTCTGGGGTTGTAGCTGATGGAGGAGATGTGCTGGTACGGGTTGGGGAACGGGATTCTCACCGGCTCCTCGTGGTTACGCCGCGTGTCGTAGGCGTACAGGATCAGGTCTCCGCCCACCTCGCTGTCATCGTCCTGGTACACGGAACGAACGGCGTACAAGATGCCACACGCCACGAACGCGTCTGACGCCATGCGCTTCTCAAAGCTCGTCTGCCACGTCCCCTCAAACCGCAGCGTGTACGGGTTCACCTGAGATACCAGCCAATCGGATTACGGAACGATTGGAAAGCAGCCAATCAGAACAATGCAGCAAGACATAAACAGGAAGTTCATATAAAAACACTCTATCGATCTTTCTCACCTGACTAACAACCAGGCGTCCGCTGTTGGCTTCAGTGGCGTATATGACCCAGAGCCCGTGTTCATCCACGGCTAGGTCGATGTCAGATTTCCCGCCCCAGCGGTACGGCGACGTGTCGTGATAGTTGGCGGTAGCAACAATAGCTTCACCGCTCTTGATGCGAGTTCGCAGGTCATATTTTACAATGTTGCGTGTGCGTTCCTTATTGTAGAACACAGCTCCGTCATACACGACAAAACCGGTGCCATCCACTCGACTCGGCAATCTGTACGTTACACAGAAACATTATTATAACATTCATACATTGTTCAACTTGTCTCACTTATAAATGCAAACTCACTTATAGGTGGTGGTGACTCTATTTTGGATGTAGTCGTCCCAGGAAGCGTATTCGTAAAGCATATCTGTGCGATAGGGTGTCCAGGGCATCACGTACAGCCTATCGCCCGCTTGCAGAGGGTCTTTACACCACGCCCCAGACTGATGCTCCGCCTCCCGCACGGAACTGGGCTCCAACACTCGCATTAATGTTCCAGGACAAACAAAAACTAGAGACGGAGAAAGAGAGAGCAATAATAGAGATGAGCAGGAGTAGAGGATGAAGCGTATTAGACTAATAAAGAATAGATCTAATGAACAGATCTATTCCACACACACACACACACACAAAACACAATCACACGACTTACACTACCTATTGCTGTATCATGAGTGCCTGTGTGTGTGAGAAAGAGAAATTTCATTCTCAAAAGATGAAATACAATGTCATTATAAGAGTGTGTGCAACCAAAGATAGACAGACAGACAGACAGACAGACAGACAGACAGACAGACAGACAGACAGATAGATAGATAGATAGATAGATAGAACAGAAGATAGAACAGAGAGCCAGATAGACGATAGATAGATAGATAGATAGATAGATAGATAGATAGATAGATAGATAGATAGATAGATAGATAGATAGATAGATAGATAGATATAGAGATATAGATAGAATCAGATTACAGACAGACAGACAGACATATAGATAGATAGACAGATAGACAGACAGACAGACAAACAGACAGACAGATAGATAGATAGATATAATCAGATTATAGACAGACAGACAGACAGATAGACAGACAGATAGATAGATAGATAGACAGATAGACACTCAAGTCGGTTACGACGACGCACTGCAGTCAGGTGGAGACCCCGATGAGGACGACGAGCATGCAGATGAGCTTCCCTGAGACGGTTTCTGACAGTTTGTGCAGATCTTCTTTGGTTATGCAAACCGATTGTTGCAGCAGCTGTCCGGGTGGCTGGTCTCAGACGATCTTGGAGGTGAAGATGCTGGATGTGGAGGTCCTGGGCTGGTGTGGTTACACGTGGTCTGCGGTTGTGATGCCGGTTGGATGTACTGCCAAATTCTCTGAAACGCCTTTGGAGACGGCTTATGGTAGAGAAATGAACATTCAATTCACAGCCTAATGCACACCTGCCTAAGGCACACCTGTGCAATAATCATGCTGTCTAATCAGCATCTTGATATGCCACACCTGTGAGGTGGATGGATTATCTTGGCAAAGGAGAAGTGCTCACTAACACATTTTTAAATAGATTTGTGAACAATATTTGAGAGAAATAGGCCTTTTGTGTACATGGAAAAAGTCTTAGATCTTTGAGTTCAGCTCATGAAAAATGGGGGCAAAAACAAACGTGTTGCGTTTATGATTTTGTTCAGTGTAGATAACGACAGACAGACAGACGATAGATAGATAGATAGATAGATAGATAGATAGATAGATAGATAGATAGATAGACAGATGTGTTTGTTTGTTTGCTGTCATAAACTGATCTGCTACATTTCAGTTCTGGTTAAGAGTTTTTGAGGTAGAATCATGAGAGAGGGGGTGGGGCTACAGGAACCTTTGGAGCCAATGAGATGCGGGTTAGTTCACACAGAGGACAGGGATTGGCTGGGAGAGCTGTCAATCACGTCACACCCACACACTCAGGTCAAGCACTTCAGGAACACGGCATGTGCACACAGTTACTAAAAGAGAAGGAGTAGTTTTCTTTATAAATGCTAAATTAACGACAACAGGTTGGTCCTGAGGGAAGCAAAGGGATGAACAGAGACGCGTTTGTCGTTTGGATCTGAGGATAAATGAGCTTCAAACAGCAAGCAAATCAAAAGGGAGAGCAGAAAACAAGTGTGTGCGAGTGTGAGAGAGAGAGAGAGAGAGAGAGAGAAAGAGAATAGAGAGAGAGAGGGGAGTTCTTCCTGGTGTTTGTAAGGTGTGTGAACAAGAGAAAGAGGAAAATGAAGGAGCTGCATCAAACTAGAGCACATCACAAGGGCCAGGGAGAAAAGAGAGAGAGAAAGAGAGAGAGAGGAAGACAAGATGAGGAGAGACAGGAGAGAGAAACTGCGGCGTTAACATGGTCTTTACCTTTTTGGTCCACTTCTATTCAAGCGTTGAAATAGAGAAGGGGAGAGAGGTATAAATGAAGAGAGAGAGAGAGAGACAGAAAGAGAGAGAGACAGGCAGAAGGTGCACAGAAGAGAGAAAAAAGAGACATTTCAGTTCAACAGCAGTCTTCCGTTTCTTTTCAAGCTTAAAGGTCAAGTGAAATTTATTAGACATGAGACAGGAGGAGAAACACATGAGGGAGAAAGACAAAAGAGAGGGGAGAGACGAAAATATTGCAACAGAGAGAGAGAGAGGTAGAGAGAGAGAGGGACAGTGAGCGAGAGAGAGAGAGAGAGAGATAGAGTGATGGTATGGTAGGGTAAGGGATAGGAACTAGCTATGCCTCAATTAAACACCACCAATCGCTGGTGTGATGGATTTAATCATCTGAATGTTCATTAGGCGTTCGTCTATCTGCCCTCGATCACTCTGTCCACTCTCCATCCCTCCACCCGCCCCCCACCCAAACAAACCCCACACATTCAGCAAACAGATTATTAGACAGTCACATTCAAACAGGCCTATTCACACCGCAGCCGGAAACTACACGCTCATCAGCTAAATCAGATTCATCTGCTTCCCTCGCTCCTTCAGGAGCGTGCTCAAACACGCATTCGATTGGTCGATGCACTCGTAAGAGCTGTTGTTGTGCGGCGCGCCAAAATATACAGACCGTTATTCTGCTGCGTGTCAGGCGCTGTGTGTTCTAGATCAGGGAGGCCAGCTAATCAATGTGCTTTAATTGAACAATGTGTACTTTTATTATGTTGTTAGCACTTTAAAAGCCATTAATGGTCTATGAAAGGCACTGGTGGTTTTGCTGTTTTCTGAACACATATTGTGCATATTTTAGTACTATTATTTAGTTTAAACCTAGTGATTTTGTTGTGCGTGTGTCTGTGTTCTTTTTAAGTTTTTTTATTCTAGCTTTTTTTTTATATCTGTACTTTTATTATGTTGTTAGCACTTTAAAAGCCATTAATGGTCTATGAAAGGCACTGGTAGTTTTGCTGTTTTCTGAACACATATTGTGCATATTTTAGTACTATTATTTAGTTTAAACCTAGTGATTTTGTTGTGCGTGTGTCTGTGTTCTTTTTAAGTTTTTTTATTCTAGCTTTTTTTTTATATTTAGTTTTTTTTTCTTTTTCTTAGTTTTAGTTTAGCTGTTTTCAGTTTTAGTAATGTATTAATTTTGCTGTGTTTGTGTCAGTTTTATTATTTTTTTAATATCTATTTAGTAGGGGTGTAACGGTACATGTATTCGTATCGAAAAACTCAATCAGTGTTTCAGTTGCAGAGAGACGTCAATAAAGCAGCTTGTAAACGAAATGTCACGTAGCATTTAATTTACCTCAAGCAAGTCATCAGTGGCCACAGCTCGTTATTTGCTAGAGAAATGAAGTCTAGAGAAGAGCATTTTGTGAACTAGTTGTGACAGCCGCTGTGTAAATGATTAGCTTATATTTCAACAACAAATAGAAATTGTATAATTTAAAAACTGCATTATGTGCCATTTACATGTTTGCATACAAAGTTGTTGATTATATAGATTTGTTCAGTAAAGTACTGTTTAATAAAGAGTTTTTCGTCCTGCTTTACCGAAACCATACCGAGCCGTGACGTTAAAATCGAGGTGCGTACCGAACCGTCAAGTTTGTGTCCCATTAAACCCCTACTATTTAGTTTTTTTAGTTTCAGTGTAGTTATTTTCAGTCTAGTTTTATTTGTAGTCATTTCTTTTTAAGTTTTAGTTATTTTATTGCGCGTTTTTGTTGGTTTGATTAATTACCTGTTTTGGGGTATGAGCACTGAGAGAGCAAACAGAGACTCCAGCGCCGCCCTGCAGGAGGAGACAGAAAACACACCCAGCCCAACAGCACTACACCCAGCGGAGGAGTGGAGAGAGGAGCGACGGAGGGAGGAAGAACGCAAACACAGGGAGGAGGTGAAGACAGGAGTGAAGAGGAGAGCAGACAAGCCTGGCGTATACTTTCTGACTCTTCATTAGAGCAGATGCGTCTCTACGACAGCCTACTATACGTCTGTTCATGTTCGGAAAGACAAACTACCGTTATACTATGAATACAAGGGATCTAAAGAATAAACAAAAGCTATTACACACTCATACTGGATCTCCAGGTATTTGTAAGTACCAGGACAGGGGTCAGGAAAAACGTCTGCCCCGGCGACAACTACACACTGGGTCCTGTTATTACACCTGAAACACACACACACATGATCATCACACACTGTTATTACACCTGAAACACACACACACACACATGATCATCAGTCTCGCACTGCTCCACAGCCACACAGAGGAGAGGAGTCGCCAAAGACGTCAATAACTGTGTGAGAACATCTGAGAGACGCTTCAGACTGAGATCATGTGAATCATCTCTCATCAGCTCAATTCAATGAAGGAGACCCGCTCATCTCTCTCTCTCTCTCTGTGGAAATGGACAGAGTGAAGCAGCATTGATTAGTTCTTCTAGGAAACAGCAGCAGCTCAAACACTGGGGAGACACGCTGACGCCAAAACACTCAAACACACACATAATCTCATCCACACACACATATCACATACTTACAGCGCCTTTATATAAAGCTAACCATTATGACCAACACATTAGAAACATTACTTACTTTAAAGAAAAATAATTTTGTGAAAGGAGAACATCTTTACATTACTCCAAAGACAGGTTGTATCAGATTTAGCTCACTTTTTGAAGGCAAATTTGTCACAAATTATATATATATATATATATATATACACTCTAGGTGTAACAGTATACAATCATGACAGTTCGGTATGTACCTAGTCGGTTCTGACGTCACAGTTCAGTTTCAGTACAGCACGAGGAAAAAAACGAAACATATATACAGGTATATATATATATATATATATATATATATATACCTGTATATATGTTTAGTTTTTTGTATGTATATATATACACATTAAATTCAACAATGGCTTACTGAACAAATTGCTTTTTCTTTAAATAAATTCAATTACAATGAAAATTTTAGTATACGGCGATATGTCGAGCCACATCAAAGATCGCCAAAACGTCATGTATTGTCTGAATTTCCCCAAAAAATGAAATGATTTGTTCGGTACACATGTGTACTGAACCGAAAGACCCGTACCAATATACACTGCCCTAATATACACTGTAAAAAAAAAAAACATATTACTAATTGAATAAGAAATCTGTGGTTACCTTGATGAATTTATCGGCTGAATGAGTCATTTTTAATTTAGTGAACGAATCAATTCAAACTGACAAAACAAACTAGCATTACTCTTAATGCCAAATTCTGTCATGAAACTGTAGATGACGCAGGTTGCTGGGTCCTTAACGTAAACTGACGATATTCTCAGCATTAAACGACTTGGCACAAGCTGATTGGTTCATGTTGCATAAGCAGTTAATGAGCTTGCTGCTTTACATTTAAATGGCTGGTTAGCATTCGCTTGAGCATTATGCAGCGCACTTTCAGAGTTCCTCCGAAACCCTCCACCTTCCCCAGCTCCACCTGTATAGATTTTATATGCTATTTGTGCAGCAGCAGTATGTCTTAATCGGCATATGTATGGGCAGTAGCAAGTTCCTGTACTTGCTTGCAGCAACAGAAGCAGCAATAATCTACAACTACAGCAATAACCAGCAGCAGCGTAGCAGATGTATTCCACCAAGACCAAGTACATTAACATTGTCATGTACATTACCATGCTAAAATCTTCCATGAGTTTTCATGACAGAACTGCGGTTATGCATAGAAGAGAGAATCTAAGTGTGAGTTGATTTGTACCTGTGTGACATGATCTTGAACGCGTCTGGCTGGTAGCACTGCACGTTCTCCATCTGGAAGGGGTCGGCGTCGCAGATCTTGTCGTCGGTGCGGCCGTAGTTGGCCGTCTCGATCATGATGACATCACTTCCTGGGCAGCGCAGCTCGATGGGGTATCCCTCACACGCCAGCTCTCTCCTCATCAGACCGAAGGGCATCGCCGCTCGACTCAGACCTGATGATCACAGACACACAGCGTCACATCACTTCCTCAACACACAGATCACACAATCACAGCCTCATGACGGGTTTCTCTCTCACACTCAACATCTGTCTGCACCTCAACAAGATCATGTGATCCACTGTCTGTCTGTCTATCTATCTATCTATCTATCTATCTGTGTCTATCTATCTATCTATCTGTCTGTCCGTCCGTCCGTCCGTCTATCTGTCTGTCTGTCTGTCTATCTATCTATCTATCTGTGTCTATCTAATCTGTTTGTCTGTCTGTGTCTGTCTGTCTATCTATCTGTCTGTCTGTCTGTCTGTATCTATCTATCTATCTATCTATCTATCTATCTATCTATCTATCTATCTATCTATCTATCTATCTATCTATCTATCTG